TATAAGTGTAAGCAATGTATTAAATATTATTATTATCAGACTTCTCATGCAAGGACCGCCAAAGCATTGCGTAAAAAAGAACAGCATCACACAGTACAGTATTACACGGTGCGTAATATGATATAATATAATAACACAATAGGTCAGTACGACTGAGGCGAACCTCTATGCGGATACAGTGCGCATTCCCTCCCAGACGCTAGGTGGCGGAGTTGCTTTAAACTCGCACGGCTGTCTGGCTCACTGTGTTCTGTCTTCCCTCCCTGCGGACTCTCCTCCCTGTTACTAAACAAACAAAAGCGATGGTAAGGAAAAGGAAGTAGCGATTGGAAGACTGAGTTGTGGGGGGGACGTGTGAGTGACGGGTTTCTGATCTTTTTAAATCGACCTTTAAATAAAACCGGCAGTCCGCGGGTGTATAATGGCCTCGGCGGGTGTTGTGCGCTCAGCCTGTGTGAAATAAAGCTGCTTTGTTCGACTTTGAAGGCGAAGTTTGCTCACCCGGACACACCGGGATAGCTCGGAAATGTGAATCTCAGAATTGCTCCCGACAATAGAAGGGACACGTTTTTACTCAAATGCAGGTTATGTGTTTGCCGTGCTGACTGCTTTTCAGTGCTTTGTTTCTTCAGCGTGGCTATTTTGTCCAGTTTGTGGTAAATGATCTCCCTGTTTTTCCTACGAGACTTTTGAGTATGCTTTTCTGTGCTGTCATTGGTGCTGAAGGCGACGGCACGTTCGGGTATCGGCTCTTTTTAACCGGGGAGAAGTTCGGTGTCGATGCGGTACTTTTAAAGAGAATTCAGTCATTGGTTAATTGTACTGTTTTTCGTACCTTGCTATGCGTTACACTAGGGGACAGCAGTGCAGGGCTCTGCGCCGATCCGATCTAGATCCGCTTCCGATCCGGATCTGTACACCTTTTTTTAAAATAAAAAGAAAAAGCCCTGTTCATACTTTTAGGTGACAGCAATGCAAAAGCGCCTTATTTCTTGTTCATTCGATTTTAGAAATAATACATGAAAACGCAAAAGGTCGAGCTTTCTCCCGGCTTCGTTCACGTTTGCATGCAGATCAGAGCAGCCGCTGGAAGATAAACTCGCCGAGCGGCTCAAGTTTTTGCGCAGGTCTGCTTGTCTTTGACGTGGCTCAGCGCCCCTCTTAACTAATCGCCGGGACCGGCTGCAGAGCAGCCCGCCCTGGGTCGGTACCGGTCCGGTGCGTGATGTTTTCCAAGCCTTTTCCCGAATGAAAAGATGAAAGAGTGACCGTTTGACGTGCCTCGCTGTAGCGAGAGGACTGGTGGGCGACAGCACGATGGAGACATGCCGGCCCATGTCTTTGTCGTTCACGATGATTATTTCATTTCATGAACGGTTGAGTTTTGGAATATTTGTATTATAACTGGCGCGTGCGTGGGGAGGGCTCACTCGTGAACGAGTGAAAGGCCACTCCTTTCAAATCAGATTCATGGTGCAGGCACCGTCTTTTTAAAACGACTCGTCTGCCCGCTGAACGGAGGACGCCTGGGATCTGCGAGTCAAAGCAATTTACACGAAAAGCGTAGCTTTACAGCAGGGTTGACCCGGGCAGGCTTGGTCCAGCATGACTGCGAGGTTTCGAGGTGCCCTGTTTCTTAATGAAGGGGGTGTCCAGTCCTGGTCCTGGACAGACTGTGTATCTGCAGGTTTTCTAGCTGTCTTTAAAGCAGCAGCACCCGAAGAGCTGGAAAGGCAGGTGGATTGGGCCAGTAAAGCCGGTAACTAGCTGGTTTTGTTCTTGGGTTGAAAGGGAAAACCTGGCTCTGGCCTTTCGGGACCAGGATCGGACACTCCTGGCTTTCATGTTCAACGCTGGCAAAGGGCCGTGCCAAAAGGGGGTTTCACCTGCCTGCTTCTTTCTTGTAGAGCAAGTTCAGTATTGGCCGGTATCGGGACCACTGGTTACTGCAGGTGCCTACGGGGGAGCCAAGTTCTTCCATCCGAGCTGGGGTACGTCTTGCTATGTTGTTTGCACCGGCAGAGATCGGGCCTGAAAAATCTCCATTATTCCTTGTTGTGGGAGTCTTGTTATCCTTGTTGGCAGCAAACTCATCGCATTGTCCTATTCTGGACATCTCAAGCACCTTAGCGTGCAGGCAGCTTGTTGGAGCAGATGTCCCCTTCGCTGGTGGCATGGGATTGGTCCTTTCAGTCCTCAGCGTCCTTTCCTATAGCGATGGATATATTCTCCACTTGTTAAGGAAGGCAGAAAGCAATGCTGTGACTAGATCATAGATAAGGGGATGTTTTCTGTGTCTAGTCAACATGGCCATCGGTTTGCCTACTGACAGATCCCTAAGAAAGTACATTTTTAGATCTCATTTTCAGTTTTTGACTGAAGTAATACATAAACTGATTTATTTTACCCTTTTTCTAAAAAACAAAATGGTGCTAAACCCATTTAAAACACTACCCATCTGCCCATAATGCATGGTTCATAATAATCATTTTAATCTTTTAATCATTGGGGCGGAGCGGTGGCTCTGTGGTTAAGGATCTGCGCCTGTGGCTGGAAGGTTGCTGGTTCAAATCCCGCGGCTGGCAGAGGAATCCTACTCCGTTGGGCCCCTGAGCAAGGCCCTGAACCCCAACTGCTCCAGGGGCGCTGTACAATGGCTGACCCTGCGCTCTGACCCCAAGCTTCTCTCCCTGTCTGTGTGTCTCATGGAGAGCAAGCTGGGGTATGAGAAAATAAATTGTAAAGGGTTAATAAAGTGATGTTATTTGTGATGTACACCAAGTCAGTATGTACATTATCCTTCAGTGTTAGAAAAGCGTGCTGTGTTATAAAATGCTGTTCACTCAGAAGCGCGTCAGATGAAATGAAAGATGTCTTGCTCTTACAGCCTGGAAGTCCTTGGTAGTGTGAGACATATTGGGGTTAACATGTTCAGTGTTTTGTGTGTGGTAATTTGTTTGGTGCGAGTGAAGTATAATTTAATCTCTGACCCAGGGAAAAGTGTGGTGTGGCCGGTGGAGGAGAGAATATAGGCTCGCGCTGTGTCCGATTTTCTTTTTCTTGTCTGGCTTGGTCGGCTCGTTTTGGTTTTATCAATAAAGTTTGATCATCGGCCAGTGAAAGCTCTGTTTTCCTTCACGTCAATGCCGAAAACCCTATACCGAATGCAGGATTTTCCGGTAGTGTTGGGTGTAGCTTAGAATTTGGGGAACGTCCTACAGGAAGAAACCACATGGATTCGGAGCTGTGGAGCAGAGTACTTGTCTGAAAGAGCTCATGGCAAAGGTTCACTGCAGGATCCAGTTAAGAACACAAGAAAGGTTCCAAGCAAGAGGAGCCATTTGACCCATCTAGCCCGTCGGGTAGTTAGTCGCTGATTGACCCAAGCCATTGCTGGATCGTATCTGGACATTTGCTGGAAGAAGCCGGGGTACTTGCTTCAGAACATGGCTGGGCAGCTTGATCCGTACTCTCACATCCCCTTATGTAAAAACATACCTCCAAGTCTCAATGTCTTTGAATGCCTCTTCCACCTAGTTTCCACTGATTTGTATAAAAACAGAAATGTTCTTGTCGAGCCATTATGAGCTTCGGACGCTCTGCAAAGGTTTTTGCACAGGATATCTTAAGAAAAAGGATTGTCACATATACAATACTGTTGTTATCCACACTTTATGGCCGTGTCTTGAGTAAGAGCTGCTAAGTTAGGATCTGGGATGTCTGCTTTTAAAGATGGAACTGCCCTTCCGTTTTTTTAGCTACATGGGGAAAAAAAACTGTTTTTAATTTGATCCGTTATGAATTTTTGAGCGCCTGGTATGGTCGGATGACTCCTGTCGCCCATCCAGATATGTATCAGTACTGACTGTGTTGTTTTGCAGAGTGAATCGGGAGAACGGTCTCAACGTTGTGCTAACCTAGCGGAGTGCACCATCAGCTCAGGTGACGGCATGGCAGGGTAGAGTTCAGGATGTCATCGCGAGCCAATCACAAGACAGGTCAGTACTGTGAGCTGGTATGGGTTTTATTGTCCTGATTTATGTTTACTTGTGTTTGTATGTCATACTGTAAAAGCCCGCAATGTAATTGCACCACCAGTGCTTATTTAGTGTTACACACGTAATGTAAAAATTAGTTCTGGACAATAAAAGACAAATGTAAAAGCTATATTAGTAAGTAATAAGCTTTGATTAACAAAGAGTAGTTAAAGTAGAGTGCTCTATTAAAAGTACAGTGCTGTTACAGTAG